GGTGGAGGACGACCCCTGCAGCAGTGTGATCCAGAGCAGGATCCACGGGAGCTCATGTGCAGGAATCACCAACAATACTGTAAATGCTGGGTTGTAAACGCCATGACCACCAGCCCTTCAGCGATGTTGACATCGCAAGGCGTACAGATGACTCTCTAAATTTTTAATAACTCCCCTGAAAGCCCTTTATCTGCAGTGAGCCAACCCCCATTGACTGGGACCTGGCTAGCCCAGAAAGACCCTAACAACAAACGTTACTTTGCAAAGGGAACCCCGTGAATATGTTCTCCAACCTTCCCACTGACGGAGCTCTGTCCACACACCCACACTCACGGTTCTCTTCTTCTGCACCCCTGTACTCACCCCTCCCTCCAGAGTCTCAATGGAGTCTCTGACACCCTCCTGGGGTGCCTCTGGCATCCCCTGCACCGGATCGAGGCAGGGCCTGGGGAGCATTGCCATCTCTGTCCTCACTGCCGTGTGGCTTCTCATTGATCCTCCGGTGTTAATCAAACCCAGTCCAGAATGAAACTACAGCTTGCTCCTTGTTCTAGTATGAAATGTGCAAAGCACAGACCATATCATTAACATAAAACTTCCAGAAATAAGGCCACTTTCCAGACAGACTGTATTAATTGCATCAAGCTTCCACAGCTAGGGTGGTCTAATCCACAGCATCTCATTGGATGGCTCTGGTTATAAAACCAACACAAAATGAACACTGGGATATAATTGAAGGAGGAGAGAATGAGAGATTCTACTGTTAAAACCTACTATTTACTTACAGGTATTCTTTTATCTTTATTGTCCCTTTAACCCATGCCAAGAAACCCCAGACTAGTTAAATAACACAGCAAGCACAATTTCAGTAGAAAAGTAAATTGAATTTAACTTTACAAGATTGCCCTGTGATTTCAGCATATACTAATGACTGCAACTGACTCCCTCTATTAAATCCAAACACTTCCACTTCCCTGAGCTGGGATCTTGTGTGTTCTTGCGTGAGACCTTGAACTTCACCAAGCGCATGTATTAATCACTACAGCTGATGACCATTTGCAGCTTTTAAATATGCAATGAAGTGTCTCAGTTCCTTTTCCACATCCCAGTGCTGGTTCAGGATCTGAGCCAGCCAAGAGGCTAGCCACCCTGAAGAATGGAAAGCCGGGATACAGCTTGAAGTAAGATCCTGCACCGTGCTGGATGCATAACAATGTAACATCGTGAAACCCATTCTGCTTGTGCATGAATCATAGCTTCCATGGGGCTCTCTCAGGACAAGGCACTGTGCTCAGCACCTGGCCTATATGACCTCATGCAATCCTCAGAGTGTGTATTATCATTACCCATTTTACAGATGGAGAAACTGAGGAACAGACAGGGGAAACGACTTGTCTGAGGTGACACAGCTGTACACCCCCGGGAATATGATACACTCTGGTGACCACCTTCCAGTCATGGAAGCCTCAGAACAGGGAAGGGTTCGGGGGAGCCAAAGCCCAGTGGTTTTCAAACTGTTCTCTGAATACCCCTCTCCCTGCCCTGGGAGACCTAGCCAAGCCCCACGCCCAGTCCATCCACAGCAGCTCCACACTGATGTGTTTCAGAGACCAACACAAGGAGCCTCGTTTTTAAATGTTACATACATGCACATATACATATATATAATATATATTTACAGAAGGAGAAACTGAAGCTCAAAGAGAGGCAACGACTTGTTCAAGGCCACTGGCCAGCTGGAGTAAGGGCCAGGACCACAGCCTGAGACTCCTGGCTCCACAGCCACCTTACCAAATCCTCTATGTGGAATCTCTCAGAGAAGAAATTTCAGCGCTCAGGAACATCTAGACTCAAAGCCCCATGTTTCAGCGGAGTCGAAATGAAGCAGCGTCCCCCAAGTCCCTTCTCCCCACTGTTCCCATCAGAAGGAGGTTTGGGGTTGGGGTCCCGGGAGGCGGAGCTGTCTGGGATGCTGCTGGCCAGGATGTACACAAACACGAACCTGTGCGGTCCTCTCCCCCATGAAATCACATCCTTCTATAAATAACTGTGAATGCGTTCACGGGCATGCAATTAACCTGTGTGAAGCACGTTTACACTAGAGTTTCCTGTATTAATTTGAAGAGATAGGTTCAATGAATCCCGATCCGAAGACGGACAAAACAAAGTGAGCAGGCGCCCTGCTCCATCTTCACAGAGGACTGCTTCTTCCTAACGGGTTACTGGGAATTTAACGACTCCACTCCAACTCCTAATTAAACAGGCACTAAAAACATTTAAGTAAACAGCCCAGAGCTGGGGACAGAGACCACAAAGGGACACAAACCACTGGAATAGGATATTTTCAGGTATTGCAATTGATCAGAAAATATGGTGGCCCAGCCTGGTGCAGGCTACTGAACAGGGGCCAAACGAAGAAACAGAACAGGACTGGACATCGGAGCAGAGGGCAGGAAGTAACAGCAGGCCCATCAGGACAGTCTCCTGCAGAAGGACAAGGGCCTCAGCCCCCTGCTGGCCCGACTCAGGAACAGGACACTGCCCTTCCTCACCCCCCTCCCCAAGCACTGTGATCAAGTGTTGGGGCTCTGAGCCCTTGTAAGTCCTAAAATCCAAGAAGGCCTCCAAGCCAGAAGATGAGCCAGGGCCAGAGATGAAGCAGGTGTTGGGAGAGGAGCCCAGGATCAAATTCTATCTCTGCCACCTCCCCTCTGCTCTTCCTTACCCCACAAATCACCCTTACTGCAAGTCCCCATTCCCTCTCCTCCATGGCCCACCAGACTGTAAGCTGCAGGAGGGCAGGACACACACCTCCCCACCGCCCTGCCCAACTTTTCCTTTGTTTGCATGGTGCTTACATACTAGGTGCCCGAGAAAAGGCTTTAAGTTGAAGAATGAATGAATGCATGAATGAATGAATGGATCAGAGCTATGAGACTTCCACTTCTGAACCTGGTTTTCTCATCTGTAAAGTGACGAGAGCAAAGTGTTAGGTTGCTGTAAGGAATAAATTTAAGAATGCCCATAAAATGCCTAGAGCAACCCAGCACATGCCTAGCTCGATACTCTGTCCATATAAGGACCCAGGTAGAGTACATGAGGTCATGCTGATGGCAGAGTTCACCTGGAGCCAAGGCAATGGAAACATCATTCATCCTCAGTGGGAAGACAGGTGGCCTTGTCAGAAGGCACCCCAAGGACAAATCCCAGTTCTGCAACCTTGGCCTGGACACTCACCCTCCCCAAGCCTCTTCTCCCCCATCTGTGAAACAAGCATGGTAACAGCTCCTGCTACACACTGCGCAAAGATGCTGAGAGGACCTGGCCACATCAGGGAGGTGCTCAGTCCCCTGGCTGGATCTCATCTACTTCAGCAGCTTCTAAGCAGGGCCAGAGCCAACAGAGGGTTAAGCAAACCCCGTGTGCACCTCTGGTGAGGAGATCATGTTTCTGCGCCACAGAACTTGACCGAGTCCAGTCATAAACACTCAGGCTGATCTTTGATAGCAAAGCCCCCTGAGTAGTTGCAGGGACTGCAGCACTAATTACAGGAAGCCGTGAGAGCAGCACAGCCGCCCAGACGGAGCAGGCATCCCTCACTCAGTAAGCAAGGTCTTCTACAGACTCACAGAACAGATCTGCTCCATCGCCCTGGGGACCAGGGCAGCCCAGGACACAGAGCCAATTTCTTTGCAAGTGGTACTAACTCCTTCCTGAGTGATTCTGGTCTTCACTTTGTGCATTTAAGGCACAAGCCAGTAAGAAACCAGAATTCTCCTCGGAAGCCAGATCTTATGATGTCACCACCTGTCATAGATGGCAGGGGGTGGGGGAACTAAAGGCTGCAGGCCACCCCACCAGCAGAAGGCCCAGGGAGCTCTTGACCTTGCAGCAGAGGCTGCCTGTGGCCTTTTCCGAGTCTGTGGCTCCAACAGGGACCATCCCTTGGGACAGCTTCAATTAGACACAAAACCTACCCAATAAAAATCGTTTTCCTTTCACCACTCAAGTCAAGAAAATGCCTGCACTGTGCTTGGTGACAAAGCAGGGACAAATCGAATCTGCCACAGCTCTGTACCCACCCTCTCCTTTCCTGGCCTCTGCCACGGAAAACAGACCACAGCCACTCGCCACGTGTGTCAGTGTCAGGATCTCGCTCCTACGGCCCCAGTGTGGCTCACAGCAGGCCCTGCCGAGATGCCGCGCAGGAGAGGCTGGGATGAGATCCCACAAATTTCCAGGGACCCCAGGCCAGAGCAGGAGTTTGGGTTTTGTTTGGGGACAAAAGGGAGATGTAGCAGAGGCCAGGTTGTGTGTGGCCACACTCCCCCGCTGCCCACCTGTGTGATGGACAGCCACACCGCCCTCCCAGAGGAGCAGGCAAGAGTCAGTGCAAACCCCTGCAATGTACAGGTCTAGAGTCTGGCCCAGAGCCAGGCACACAGTAGGTACTCAGCCCCTTGCCCCCACAAACACCCCGTGATGTTTCACTCCCTCCCATGGCTGCAGCTTGTTAAAAGGCTCCTTTTGAGTGACTTTTTTTCCTTAAACTTAATGGGCAACACATTCTCCCAAAGAGAAAATCAGCATTTTGGGCGGCTCCAGTGATATACGCAGACAACCATGGAATCTTCTCCTAGCTCTATGTTGGGGCGGGGCAGGGGGTGGTGTCTGGGGTGGGGGAAGGGTAGCAGTGGCAAGGGCAGAAGAAAACCTCAGATGTTAAGCGTTATCCAATTAAGCTTTAGCTAAACAGCCCGGAGAGATGAAATTTGGAGGCTGGAGAGGTGCACTCTGGGAGTGAGACTCTCAGACTGGGGGGGGGGACCGCCTGACCCATGGGGATGGGGCACTGGCTTACGGCTCTGTTGACATCCTTTACCACTTCCCCTGACACCCTACAAATACTTTTTGGGTGGGGGTTTTGCTTCCTCCTGGGTTCCCACCTGCCCAGCTCTGCCCAGGACACATCCCGCCATCCCCGGGAGCCCACCCCCCACCGCGGCGGCGTCTGTTACCTGACAACTGACACTGGCATCCAAAGGGAGCCTCCATCTGCCCCTCACCCTGAGTGCCGTCGCCCGAGACAGGGCGCACGCTGCAGCACGGCAGGGGGATGCAGGGCGGGAGGGCGCCCAGGGCCCGCAGAGGTGAAGTGATCACCGATGTGTGAGGGTGGGAGGAGGAGGCAGCTATGGGGGCCATCGCTGGCGGCTGGGCAGGCCTGCACGGCCCTGGAGAAAAAACAATAGAAAAGACTGGTCAGTCGGGCCCTGGACTGCACAGGGGGCAGGGGGTGCAGGGTGGGCCCAGGGCACAGGGCTGCAGGCTGCCCTCGAGGGAGGAAGTCCCAGGGGTGCCAGGCCCTGCAGGGAAGGCGACTGGGGCACAGGTAGGGCAAAGGGGCCAGGGAGATGGGCAGGGGGTACTGAGGAGAGTCCTACTTCCACAGCTGCCAGGCTGGGCTATCTGGAGGCCAGGACCCCCACCTCTGTGCAGGGGACTGGGGCCAATAGGGGCTCTCAGGGCCCCACTCCCAGGAAGGACACCCCATGTGGGAGCTACTGGAGTGATCTGGAGCAGATTCCATTTGGGAATTTGTTTCCAAAAATTTGGGCCACCCCTGCCCAGAAGAGTTAGGAAGCTCAGAGCCACCACTGTTCGCTACATCAGGATGGGCTGTTTGGCCAGGCTGGGGACACCTCAAGTCCACCTCCCAGTGTCTGGGCACTGGTTAGCCTCCCGCCTTGATGATCGCCAGCTAGTGTCTCTCTCCAGCCCCAAGCACTGAGCATGCAGCACCCAAGCCCAGTGCCTTTCAGAAGGCTTTGACACCCCCCGCCCTGCCCGAAAACCCTGGCACTGCACACTCCCTTTTTAATGTCTCTGCCCTGGCTTGGAACCCACCCCCTCACCATCTGCCTCAGCTCCGCCCAGCCCCACGGCTCACCATGGCTCCCCAGCAAGGCCTGCGTTTGATTTGGCCGTTTATCTTAAATGGCTAAGAGACCACCAGGGCAAAACATTTGTGTGAAGCCCTTGCCAAAACCACAAGTGAAGAAGCCCAAATTCCCTGGGTAAATAATTGAGCAGGGAGGCATCAGAGAGACAGAAAGAAAACATCAACAAGATGATGGGCAGCTGAGCCCGGCCAGCTCCTCCGGGGAGGCCGTTGACGCCCCACCTCCCAGCACAGGCTGCCCGGGTGGGGATCCGCCCACCCTATGGCCCCCACATAGGACCTCCCCAGCCCAAGAAGAGCCACTGCGAGCCAGGAGACTACCAGTCTTCATTTGCCTGAGCTTCCTAACATGCCCACAGGGGCAGGGGCTTAGGATACCCATTGCACAGACCAGAAGACTGATGGCATGACTGCAAGAAAATTGCAGACACCAGCAGCCAGCCCTGTCAAAACTCCAGCTTCCAGCTCCAGAACCAGAGCTCTTCCTCTGCACCCCTGCACCTCCTAAATGTGTGTTATCCAGGATCGGGGACATCAGAGTGCTTAAGACCTCTGGCATGAGGATTGGGGGCTGTCAGTGTCCTGTCAAGAGGCCAAAGCTAACACCAACACCACTCGGGCCCCTCTAGGCCAATGAATCCCACACTAGGCTAGGCCCTGAGTATTTCTGAGTGCGCAGCAGCCCCGGAAGGGCGTGGCTGAGGAACCGGTAAGCAGTTGCAGCCACAGATGCTAAGCGGAAAGCCATGTCCCAGATCGAGCGCAGGCCCCCAAGGAAGGTCAGCAGCCAAGGCCAATGCTGCCTGCCTCCTCCAGGAAGCCCGCCCTGGCCGGTCCTTGACTGAAACCCCCAGCACTGAATACTGTGTGTTTGACCCTGTCCACTACTAGTCTCGAGTCCCCATGTGGGCCCTCCCTTCATACCACGGAGAGCTATGGATCATCCATAACCATGAGAGCGGCTTTGTGCCAAGTACCGCACAACCACTTCACTCAGCAAGGAAGACCATACCTGTTCCATGGGGGGGAAACTAGGGCTCTGGGGGGGCTGGGACTTGAATACAGATGTATCTTCAAAACCTGGTTATGTTCTGCTTCCTTCTAGGGGTACAGCTGGGGTGGGGTTGTGCAAGGTTACCAGGATGCCCCAGGATCCTGAGGGCAAGGGCCATGCGGGGGTGGGGGAAGCCTGAGGTTCTCAGGCTCAATCCAGCCATCAGCAGCTGCAAAAGGCCAAATCCAGGCTCTGGCTCCTGGGTTCTGGCTGAGTCTACAACACAGCTAGCACCACTTATCACGGTTGAGAAACCAACAGGAGCACCTCGCAGCCTGGTAACAGATGTCCCAAGTGCTAAGGGAGCAGTCTAGCTAAACCCTTCTCCTGGAAAAGTCAAAGGTAGGGCTTAGGCCAGAGTCCATAAAGGCAAATTCACGAAACACATAATGCTCTGCATAGGGTGCATAGAGTGGGGAGCCGGGCCACCCCCTGGTCAGCTTTCCACAGGGCCTCATTTGGAACTCTGACCTCGCTGAAGTCCACCTGCCCCTGGCACCAGATCAGTGGGGACAGGGGACGGCCTGCTGGATGAAGAACTTCTAATGCGAAGCTGCATGAGGCCTCTCTGGGGCTCTCCGCCCTGGGGAAGGTTTCCTCATTGGGGCAGCTTAAACCCAGAGCTCTGCCCAAAGGTGGAACTCAAGAAATCCTCTTCTGAAGCTACTGCAAAAGCCAAAGTGATGACAGTGGCCACATACTGTATGATTCCACAGATGTGAAAAGTCTGGAATAGGCAAATCCGTGAGACAGAAAGTAATGGTTGCCAGGGGCTGGGGAGAAGGGTGTGAGGACTAGTGGGTACAGGCTTCTTTCAGAGGTGATGAAAATGTTCTGGAATGAGACAGTGGTGATGGCTGCACAACACTGGGAATATACTCAAAAACCACTGACTGTACACGTTAAAATGGTGAATTTTACATTACATGAATCTTAATGCAAAAAAAAAAAGGCCAAAGGTGAGGACTTTTTGTCTCTGGGCCTCAGTACCTGTCCAGACCACCTCCCAGCCCCCACCCTTCCTCCGGGAAGGGGTATTTGCCTTTAGAAGTATACCCAGGAAATCTAGAACGCACTCAAAGAGCACTTGAGACCCGGTGACATAGACTGTGCACCCAGACACGCACAGAGAAAACCCCCAGAGCTCAGAGAGACGTAGCCTTGGGGAGAGAGAGGCCTGGGTTCGAATTCCTCCTCTGTCAGTTCCTGTCCACTTCTCAGAGCCTCAGTGCCCTCACCTTTAAAGGAAGGGTCAGGACAACCCTGAGCCAGAGCAGGGCATCTCGTAAACAATAAATAAATGGTCCCTATCTTTCATTATTCATTTTATTTTCACAGGCTAACAGAGCACTGGTAGGCACCCTGCAAAGCCCTGCAAGGCACTCTTAAAAGAAAAAAAAAAAAACACTTTCTTTTGAGGTCTAAACCAGTACCCCTCTGGAATTCACACAGACCCACGTGCACCGAGGTATGTGGCGGGGGACACCAAGACGCCAGCTCAGCTTTATGTGGGATCCAGGTGGCTTAAAAATAAAACCCTAGCTGGCTGGATTTCTTATCATGGAAGTTCACTTTAAATAGGGAAAAAGAAATAAACAATTAACACCTATATTATCTCATGTAAGCCCAGCAGCCTCCATGAGGTCAGTATTATGATCCCCCTCCCACAAATGAGGAAACTGAGGCTCAGAAAGGCTGAAGAAAGTGCCCAGGACCATGTGCCTTATGGAGCTCAGAAACTACCTTCTCATTCTATGCATCATACAAAGACGTACCCTCCCAAAAATGTCTAAGGATAAGGCCCCTAAAATGTCTCGTAAGCTCCAAAACAGGGTGTAAGATCATTTTTAATGCTTTCATGGGTTTTAAGCATTCTGTAATCCATGTCCCTTCTAGAGGGACCCTGCAGATGCTCCAGCTTCATGCCTCACACATGCGCACTAACCCAGAGAACACGCCCACCGCCTGTGAGCAAGTAGACACAGAAACGCCTGGAAAAGCCCCAGCCTGGTTTTGAGGGGAACGGCGAGCCTTCCCCACCGCTGAATCCTGTGGGGCATCCCCTCCCAAATGGGAGGATTACAGACTCCATGTTCCCGGCTAGAGAGAGGTGGTCAGGAATATACACGGTGCAGGAGATGTCTATTTTTCTCCCTCCTGGTGCCTTTCAATTGATACGTTTTTTAAGCCGAGAACTCCTACTGATAGTGCAGAAATGAGTCATAGATCAAGGAAGGAGAGACAGGGAGCCCAGTCTTGTGAGTAAGGGACACTGGCAAGGGAACCTGACAGTCCCCGAGCCCCCTCCCCCCATGCCAAGACATTAATTCTCACAAGTCGGAGAAAATTACTATGCATGAATGCAAAAAGCATGATCAGGAGTAATTAACATGGCTTCATATGCAAATTTTATTAATGCAGAAGTACAAAGTCATTATGCAAATGAAACTTACGTCAACTCTCTTGACAAATATTCATCTCTGAGGCTCAAGTTTCTCCCTTTTTATTTATTTATTTAATTTTCCCTCTCCCCCCCATCCCTTTTATCCTGGGTTGTTTTTTTTTTTTCTCTTTTTAGTGTAGGGAGAGGACGTGGGAAGGGAGGTGGTAGTGGTGGCTGCTACAGCGGCAGCAAGCCACAAGACTGTTTGACAAGTTTGCAAAGTTGTTTTTCAACCAGAGAAATGTATTCTTGCATTGTTGATTTTTTTTCTTTTCTTTTTCTTTTTCTTTTTTTTTTTTTTTTTTTTTTTTTTTTTTTTTTTTTTTTTTTTTTTTTTTTTTTTTTTGGTTGTTGGCAGGTACAAGACAGCTCATAGGAGAAGGGGGGAAAAATTAAAAAAAAAAAAAAGCTCTGGGCAGCAGGCAGCCAATCAAAACGCCAGAGCCTGTAATGAGGGCGATTGATGGCTGTTTGGCTTTTACTGCAGGGTAATGAACTAGAATCCAGTCTGAGGAGGGGGGAAAATATGAATATTCATGAGACTGTGCTCCTGCCTTTGATGATTAAAGAAATTTTTAATATTCAAATAAGCGCTTGCCAAGTGATTAACAAAGAACAAGCAAGCAGAAATATGGAGATGGGGGCCGGGAAGGATTTGAGCGGCGAACACACTGCAGGAAAAGCAGCCCCAAATTCCATAAACAAGATAGGCACATAACCCAAATCGCAAGCGGGCAAATAAAAACATTTCTCTCCGATCGCTTAAATGTTTTGC